CACACGCTGACGGACACACACACATACACACACAAACACATACACACAAATATAGGTAACGTGTGTTTACAAAAAAAACGTTTCTAATTCACACCTACCCAAAGTTTGAATTAACTGCGCCTCGAATCTTCAATTTTTGAATTTTTGGGTCCATCATTAGTATATTGGTCGAAATGTTCTAGATTTTAAATCATATTTTTATTTTGTGAATTAGAAACATTGTGTATATATATATATATATATATATATATATATATATATATATATGCTTATAAATATAAATTTATGCTACCGGCAATGTATGGAAACCAGTATTTTATAAAATTCCCAATGTATAAAATGCTCTAAATCGGCAATCAAAGTATAAAATACATCAACATTTTATGCATTTCCTAATCATTCTATAGAATACCCAAAAACAAACATACAAAGTATAGAAAACGCTTTTTCTATTTATTGCACTTAAGAATATTGACTATGACAATACTTGACGCTAACTAAACTAAACGACAATAATAGGAACTATGATTAGAACAATAATCATCTATTCTAACATCCCCAGTCGTATACCAGCTAATCTATCAGTCCCATATTATATGTCTACATAAGTTATAAGTATTTATGTTTCATACAAAAAATACAACACAGACAATAGTTAAAGGTTTGTGAGCCACATCAGCAGATATCAAATAGTATAAACAAAAGCTGTTGTAATGAAGATCACCTCACCAAGTTTATAATAGTATAGCAAGATCATTTCACAAAATTATTGGTTCTCAGGCCTCTCAAAACATAGACATTGCACATGTACACTAACATGTACACAGATAACTAAGCATTAAATTTCAGTTTGTTAAAATCCAAATGAATAATTTAAACCTTCTGTTGCCAAATCTCATCAATCAATTAAAATTGCACAAGTGTCACCAGCATTTATGTGGAAATATTTCTTATGCTTTTCTCGTGGCTTTATTACAAACCAGACTGTAAATCAGAATCCAGGAATTATTTATAGACTGAAAGCATTGTAGTCAAGTCACCATGATAATTCATTACTTGGGAAAATGTAAGCTTGTTGCTCTTGAAATCCTCAGTTGCAATCCATATACTCTCTTAGGAGATAATATTGATACATACGAGTAATACGGTAGCTGTAGCAGTTTTTTCAATCTTTCAATCTTTCACAATCTTTAACAATCATTTCATATTATTTGTTATTACTTTAGACTTTTGCAATCATTTTAAGTTATGGTATGTAATAATCGTTTGCTGTCGTACATTTTGTATATTTTTCTCTTTCATTGTTTACTGTCTGTTACTAAAGAACATTACAAACTGGGCATTTTACTCTTTGCCTATGCGATTCTTGTCATTCTAGGAAAAGTATATAATAACGTGAGGAATTGTATTCATTGTGTTGGTATTCTATAGAATGCCTAGTTTTCATGATCTCCTGGTAAAATGTGGATATAATTACACACACACACACACACACACACACACACACACACACACACACACACACACACACACACACACACACACATATATATATATATATATATATATATATATATATATATATATGTTGGTTATATAAATTGGTTATATTTTGATGGCAGTATTGAGAGTGTTACTTGCTTACCTTAAAGTGTACCTGCATGGAAATATTACTTTGTGTAATCATTTTTAAATTATAAAGTTTAAACGGATATATGTATAAATATATATATATATATATATATATATATATATATATATATATATATATATATATATATATATATATATATATATATATATATATATATATATATCAAAATTTTAAATATTATAGTTTTGCTAATTTGTGTCGAATATTCTAATATAACACTAGTGAACATGATATCCCATCAGAGGCGTAGCGAAGGGGTGGGGGTGGGACAGGGGGGTACATATGTCCCCGGGCGCCGACCTTATGAAGCGCCAAAATGGGTTGAAAAAACAAATTAAAATCTCATTTTAGGTGCAGTTTGACATTATAAATATAAAAAATATATGGGGGTGCAAATGGAAAGTTTGAGGGGGGGGGGGGGGGGTGCAAATGGAAGAGGGGAACTGCAAATTGAAAAGGTTTGTTCCCGAGAGGGGGCGCTAAATTGAAAGTTTGTCACCGGCGCCGGGAAGGGTCGCTACGCCTCTGTATCCCATGTTGCTAAAGTCTGAAAAAAAGGAAATGCATCTTTTAAAAAGCATTTCATCGTTCATACTTCTATAATTCACATATTTCTGGTAGATAGTTTTATAAAGTTTCATATTTCTCTCTGATGTCAGGCACATTACTAAATAGGAAAAAAAAAGCGATTTTAATTGCTACTTACCGAAGCAAAGACAGCTGTTACGATAACCTCTCGCTTCTTGCGAACGATAATGTATTTCATCAGATCCGTTCTTACAACTTTGGGGAAGTTACATACGTGTATTGAGTTCACCCAGACCTTTGTAATGAAGTTTTATAATCTTTACACACACAAACCACATATATATATATATATATATATATATATATATATATATATATATATATATATATATATATATATATATATATATATATATATATATATATATATATATATATATATATATTTATATATTTATATATTTACATATATATATATATATATATATATATATATATATATATATATATATATATATATATATATATATATATATATATATATATATATATATATACTATCAGACGATAACAATGAGTTCATTTACCTCAACGTGCTGATTGGAGATGATCACAAATTTCAACACAAACTTTGTCTCTCTCCTAAAAAACGCTCTCCGTTCCTTCCGTATGTCGCATAGTGTGGCTTTAGTTCCAACCTCACCAGCAATGTCTGATTCGCAGAAGACAAAGTTTGGATCGAATTGCACCCACAAAATAAGGGCTTTGTTAACACTGCAGTCGAGTTCGCTACATAATTCAACACTGTACCTGGATAAGAGTAGAATGTGCTATAGTTTAGTAAACGAAACGTTTTTCTAACCATAATTTTTTCAATTTAAAATTTAACTTTACACGTATACATATTATGTTTAATATTAATTCATTCATTCATTCTTTTAACAAACATATATATATATATATATATATATATATATATATATATATATATATATATATATATATATATATATATATATGAGAAACCAAAAGTAACAACTTAACTTGCCTGTAAGATGTTTTAGGTATGATTAACTTTAATAAAATCTCTTTGCCAGAATACATTTCTCCTACCTCACTGGTGTGTGCATTAGCTCGCTGTTGAAATTGTGTTTATTAAACAGTTGCAAAGCCTTTGTACGCTTACTGTAAACGCACACATATTCTACCAATACTAAAAGTACTAATCTTGTATTTAAATAATATTGTATTATTAAATTGATATGATATGATATAGGATTTAATTCGTGCTTTTTTGGGTTATTAATAGTTGGAATGTGTAAAATGTTACTAGAATATGTATGATTCATAATTTAGCACTTCTTTGCTATAGTTATATAATTTATGTGTACTGGCATGGATGAGAATAAAAAAATTCTGATAAATTATTCAAGAGTTTGAAATTACTTTTGTATGAATACTTTAGCACTTTGTGTGGTTATACATTTAACAAACTTTATGTAGTAATAATTTCTTTTTCTTTTGAACATTTGAATATTTAAATGATAACAATTATATTTAATTGTCTATAAAATATATTACTTTAATTTATTTATAATTATAAGTGTACAAAAGATGTGTGGTTTTCGAATCAATATTGACTTGACCTGACTTAGTCCTCTTTGCTCCTTATCGAAGATAGGGCCTCCACCATTTCCTTCCATTTCTTCCTATCCCCGGCTATTGATTTTGTCGTCTCCCAAGACATGGCTTCAGTTCTTCAAGAAAACTCCGCCTCCAGGTCTGTCTTGGGCTTCTTTTTTTCCGCTTTCCCTGGGGGTTCCACTCAAGCGCTTGTCGTGTAACATTTGGGTTAGCTTTTCGCAGTGTCACCCACCCAGCGCCACTTCCTCCTTCTTATTTGCACACCCAAAGGCTCCTGCCTAGCTTTCTTCCATACGAATCAATATTAAACGCTTTTTATGGTTTTGAATAGTATACGCTGTTGTTAAAACCCTTTTTAAATGTCTTAGGTTTAAAAAACTAAATAAAAAAATTACCGTTCTAGCAATCAATGGATCTGGTGTGGTGGTAGCTTGGGTAATGATGAAGCCTTTAGCTGTACTAGTTTCTAAGGATATGCTGCTCTTTTTAGCTATGTTGGTGCTTGTATTTGAGACACTGTATGATGATTCCACATATACGTCATTTGTCACAAGTAAAAGTAGCCAAATGTATGACATCTTTATTTTTTTCTGGATTTAAGAGGAATAAACAATCATAGAATAAGCAAATGCATAAGGTTAAATAAAGTTATGTTTTAATTATGAAAACATTTACATTAATGTCACATACATAATAAGACTATTTGATTTAGCTTAACTTATATGATGAAAGTGTAATAAAACGTCAGTTTTGTTTTAGAAAAAATATGTCAAATTTAATGCCTTGGCCTATTGATAACAGTTTACATCCATCCCACAATTAAATTTTGCTAGCTAGTGTATTATGTAAGAAATTGAAAATCGTTGTTTGAAAATGTAACAATTTTTTTTTCAAAATATGTTACTAAAAAAATAGAGATCTTGACAGTTAGGGTTTACTTTTAATTATATTTTTTTTTCGCTTTCACAAATGAAAGACCAGCTATGCTACTACATATTTTTTTTAAATTTGTATCTTCAAAACTATAGATGTATTCTTGTTATAATTCTTGAACCCTGTCACACCCTTCTCCCCCGCCCATCAGTTTATATATCTCTAAAATATGAACAAAATGTAAATAAAGTTGTCCGATACATTGCATTATCATTAAATTTATCAGGTTATGCTCGGGAATGGTCAGAGTATTAAAAAGACAACTAACCTTCAATGTATTTGTAAAAAAAAAGAAACTGCTTCCAAACGGCAAACCTGTTGTTTACTCTTTGACACGTTCATTCAAAATGGCCGCTGTAAAACCTGGCATGCATTTCCGCTCACATGACCCACGCTTAGACAGTGAGTTATTTATAGACTGTATACAAGGGCGGTAACCGGTGCATAAAGTATGCGGGATGGTTTACTAACTGGGTATTGGTACGTCGCATTAATATTAATTTAAAATTAACTAAAGAGTTATTTTATTTTCAGTTGCTATACAAAACGTGTAAACAAATATATAGACTCAACCAGTGTTTCTTCCCGACTTTTTTCTCCGGGGGAGGGGGGAGGGCACTTGATATTTTTGAGGGGGGGTGCTCAAACTCTGGACTCAAACACTCTCATCGATGCCAACAGGGATAGTTTAATAAAAATAAAATGAAGATAATTTTTAGTACTGATTAAATGGGACGTCCCTAGGTCTTTGTAGCAGATGAACTCTGCCTCATCTACCAATGTGTCGTGGGTATCACGCACAAGGATTTTATGATGATGAGTTGTTTTTTTTTCTTAAATTTACATTTAGTAATGCATAGTAACTATGTAAAATATGTGCTGATATATGCATTTTCTAATGTAAGCTTTGTTATAAAGTAGCCTGAACAGCAACCCTCCGCAGCATTAATCATGTTGTAGCTTTTTTAATTGGTGTAACGAGTATTCGTTTAATTAAAAAACACCAATCATTTGTCTCACTCTACATATGGGTTGCCCGCATAAGGTAAAGTGTGCAAATATGCCAACCCACATTGTGTAATTAAGATGGAATTAAATTGTGCGTCTAATTGAGTTTTTTGGATAGTTAAATGTATACTCGTTGTCGTGTTTATGTACATAATGTACATGTGTGTTTATGTATATAATGTACATATGTGTTTATGTGTTTATGTAATTTCGTGTTTATGTGTGTATTTACCTGTGTGTTTATGTGTGTATGTACCTGTGTGTTTAAGTATGTAGGTACCTGTGTGTTTATGTGTGTATGCACCTGTGTGTTTATACAAGCATGTGCTTGTGTGTTTATGTGTGTATGTACATGTGTGTTTATGTGTGTAATATACATGTGTGTCTATGTATCTAAATTATCTGTGTGTTTATGTATATAATGTACGTACGTGTTTAAGTGTGTATGTACCTGCCTGTTTATGTGTGTAATGTACCTGTTTGGTTTATGTGTGAGTTTATTGACTTTTTTTCAATTATAAATTCTTCATTTGCAATTCGCTTAATTAAAAATGCCTAAAGTTTGGGATTATTTTTCTACTGAGGTATAATAAAGCCTGTTAAGAATACATAATCTAGCAAGATACTGTTATAACGTAATTAGATAAATATAATTGTAAAATATATTTTAGACAGAGATACATGCAATTTAATAGCACAGGAATGGCCATGTGCAAAGCTGTCTATGACATTGATTTATTCTAGGCAAAACACATACTGTAATATTTCAATCATGATAAGTTTTCGGTTGTATTCATTCAATCAATCAATTGACAATGAATTAATCATTAATTAAATATATTCGTTTTTTCTACCCGAAACTTTTTTAACAAATTTTTAAAAATCTTATTAGTTTTGACCAAAAAAAAATTCGAGTAAGCAATATTTAGGTTGATTATCCAACTACACCGTCCCATAATATTCAAGGCTCGACATTGTTAGTTGACTGTGAATCCATTATAATAACATGGACCCAAAATATTGGGTGATATACTTTTAATATTTCACATCACCGTCTAGAAAGATAAAGAACATTCACTGATTGGGTTATACCCTAACATCTGAATAAAGAAGGAAATTTTTCTTTTATAGATATATATTTTTATAATGTAAAACTAAAAGAAAACCTAGTTTTTTTATCATATTTGATATTAAAAAACTACCGTGCCCGTCCCCGCGCGTTGCCGATGGGCTAGAAGAAAGTTTGAGGATAGCTAGGGAAAAATTGCACCGTACAGGGACGTCGAACAGAGGCGTAGCCAGGGGGGGGGGCCATATGTCCCCGGGCGCCGACCTAAGAGGGGGCGCCAAATTGAAAGTTTGAGGGGGGTGCAAATGAAAAGTTCGAGGGGGGGGAGGTGCAAATCGAAAGTTTGTCCCTGGGCGCCGGGAAGGGTCGCTACGCCTCTGGCGTCGAAGGACGCGCCTTATTACGTTAAGTGGACGACTACAATGCCTCATTGTATCCATAGTGTATTGTGAAGTTTAAAACGAACGTAGGTCCCATAGCGCTCAAGGGATAACCCGGAGCGCCAAATTTCACTCAGCCGGGGCAGAGTGAAATTCGGCGCCCGTGCGAAATTGCAAATAGTATTTTTTTTTGTTTTTTTTTTTGCAGAATCCTCCCAGGGAGTATTCTCAACAACTTCCCAAAGGTTCACGGCGATGTAATGAAGGTTTTAGTAATGCTTAAAAGACAAATAAAATCTGCAATGTGCTGGGGGACGCGCATGTTTATCTTTAGTGAACGACTCTAAAATCCAGTCTAATACATAGTCTATCGCACTGTTTAAAACGAAAGGTGGCGCCATTGCGCTTACGGGAAACACCAGAGTGCAAAATCACACAATGCAGGGGAGCCGGAAGACGCAACTGATTAGATATGGCCAACGTGTATTGTTGCCCATGGTGTCTTTAGTGAATAGCCTTTTTTTAAACAAACGTAGGCGACAAAATGCTCACAGGGGAGCCAGGGCGCATCGGGTCACGAAATAGCCAGGGTGCTGGCGGCTGCGCCTGTTGAAATTTCAATAATGAATATAGCACTACTATTTAGCCGATATGGAGTAGGCCCTATGCCCGATTAACGGATAAGAAGGGCAAAGCAGCCGCACTTGAACTCAGGGTGCGAAATCATTTATTGTTACAATATAGCAACCTCCCGGGCGCCGCCCATAAGAATGTTATTTAAATTTTATTTAAATTAAATTATTTTGTTTGAAGAAACCTTCTCGGGATTATTCTCATCTATTCCCCACCAAAGTTTCATTGCGATCGGATGAACGGTGTCAAACGGCAGCCGTATATAGGGAAAAATCAAATCGGCCCTGCCGGGGCGCCACTCCTGCGAATTTGATTTTCTTTCCGCAGAAACCGCCCAAGGAGTATTCTCAACATCTTCCAAATGTTTCATGGCGATCTTATCAAAGGTGTAGTAAAGCATAAAAGACTGAAAGCCATACAAATATACATATATTTTTAGATTGATTAGAAATGTGGGGATAATTGGGAAATTGGTAAAGCGATTGACTGCTAAACCCAAGGTCTCTAGTTCGGAACCTGTGATTTAAAGACGTTCCAGGCTATACCTAGGTCTACTGGACTCCTGACTCAGGGAAAATTAAGCCGGCTGGGCATAGCGGTGGCCACACCATCACTGAAAGAAACATTTGAACCCTGCTTAATCAGCCCAGTGGAGGGTTACATCGAAAAGTGGAACTTGACTTCATTTTTTTGTATTATATGCAGCAGTGTAATGTTGATGTCTTGGCTGTTTAGAATGGTGATAAAAAAAGTATTAATCACATTGATTCGTATAAATTAATTTTTAGAGGTAGATCTGAGTATAGGTAGCTAGGCATACTGCCTAGCATTGCTTATGTTTAAAAAAAACATTTGAGATTTTAAGATTAATTTATTGGTGATTAGCTGTTATGTAGAGTGCTTAAGTTTAAACAGTCTTAGTAATTTGATTCAAAGAGTTAATGGAATATTCACTAACTAGTTTCTCGCAAGCTGAATAGATCTGCAAAAGCTTACTCAATAGTATAACTCAAATATTATATTAAATTTTGCAATTAATTTTTACAATTTAATTGTAAAAATTAAAAAATCACAAAATATCAAGGCGACAGGTTTATTTCGAACTATAGCTCACATAATAAGATTTCGACTCGCGGTCATATTTTCGCCATTATTGAGGGCTTTGAGTAGAACCAACGGCTTTTCCTTATGGCCTAACCATTTACTTAGGGGCAGGCAAAAAATTAACCAGATGTATAGAGGGTAAGTCCACTGTGTTGAAATTACCTTTTGTTTTTTCCCATAAATTACAAAGATTATAAAAAGAAATACGAATGGTCAATTTTAACCACTTTGTGTAGTTTTCCCAGATATGGCAAGTTTTGTTTTTTTCATGACACACCTAGGCTTTCTTCTACCACCTCACAAAGTATCAAGGGGTTTCCTTCGACAAAATTTGTTTTCGATATATAGCACCTATAAGGCGCCGGTTAGTGTGCCCCCCACCTCATCGTAGACTTTGCGGCCGACCGGCACCAGTGCTCAGGCGTCAAGAGGCGGGACCTGGCGAAATTGGAAGCGTCTGCGGGCACCCGTCCACTTTGCTTTACATATATAGAGATTGCATCACCTTTTCAAATATTCTATAAAAATGAATAAAACAGCGTAACATTAGCATGCTATGTTTACTTTCAACTAAACTACGTTTATGTATAAACGTTTCCTATAAAAATAAAATAGAAATATAAGTCAAATAACTAAATTTAATCCACTTTTATTAATTCCAGAATAAAATTAAACGTGTTTAAAATTCCAACACAACGTAAGCATTTAATACACCATCATTTACAATAAATAGAAACGAGAACATTGTTCTTCTTAATTGGATATTTTTAGGACACCACAATTAATAATACACACATTCGCTCTCGATCTTTTTTGTAAAAACATGTATATATATATTTATATATATATATACATGTATATATATATATATATATATATATATATATATATATATATATATATATATATATATATATATATATATATATATATATATATATATATACTTGTATTTGTAATTGCATTTGAAATGGAATTTGCATCTTTATTTATGTATGTTTTTTATAAAATGTGTGTAAGTATTTAGATTGAAAATACCAACCTTTTTATTCCAAAACACCAAAGACATTAAAATGTAAAAGTATTGTTAAAAAATCTTAACAGCATTGTTAAACAAAACAAAAATTGCGGTTAACATAAAATATAATAGCATCATGATAGTTTACGAATTACATTCAGCTATCCACAAGATAATGTAATCAGCCATAACTTGGTTTTTCCTTTTTGACTAAAGTATACTCATTAATAGTTAAATGCATAATAATTATTAATTTTAGTTAATTTTTTAAAAAAAATATTCGTATATGTGTTTAATATTAAACCTAATGTTTCAAAATTTTACTTGTATCTTTGGTTAACATTTTCTAACCTTATGTTATTTATAGTATTAAAGAATATGATAAGCTATTGACTCTAGTAGCTGCAGACAAAAGCATGTTCCAGATAAAATTTGCAAAAAAATAAATAAGAAAAAGTATTAAGTCATATACATTTTGTTCACAATGGGAATACTGTTCCAGTAGAGAAATAAGTTTTGACAGAGTTCGACATCCTGCTTATGGTACTTATGCATGCCGTTTACATTGATCTGAGAAATATATATGCAAACAGGCTTAACAATACGTGGTTCATTGTGTTAACGTAAAATATTCCAGGCATATTGCAGTTTGTCTACATACTACTTGTTTTTTTTAACCACATGTTTTTTTTTTCTTTATTGCTTTATAAATGATTGTGTGATGTTATTCCTCGATTATAGTATGATTTTAATTTAATCAACACAACGATGAATATTGTTTTCTATAGGGGTTGGTAGTAGGTCACCAACTTCTTATACTAGCCAGCAAGTGTTTTTCAAATAAATTGTGAATATGTTTATTAAATCGGTAAAAAATAAGTTACTTACGTTATTGTTAAGTTATTTAAAATCGTAAAAACTGATAATGATACATTGAGGATTCACCTGACCCTCTCTAACGAGATTTCAAATTTTAAGTAAGAGAAGCAAAGAGACTTACAAGCTCTATAGCAAAAATAGTCCTATCAATGATCCCAAGTATGATAAAAATGTAACAAGCACACATATTTTATGTACATATTTAATATCTGTCTAATAACTTCTTTTTCTTCGTTGTCGTTGTTCTGAATATTATTTATATTGGTTGAATTAAACAACAAGACATACGTATTGGACGAAGTGGAAAGCGGTCCCCAAATGTACAGGCTCCATTAACCATTTTTAATATGTGCATATTTAATAAGAGTAAATTTAATAGTGCCTAATAAGAGCTAATTTAATATGGGTAAATTTAAAATGTGCACATTTGATTTCTCCATATTTAATCAGTGTTAGTTATTTAGTGTTATTTCAATTCGTATATTTATTATATGCTTATTTAACATGCGCATATTTAATATGTCCAATTTTAATATGTGCCTGAATAGTATGTGCATATTTGATCTGTGAATATTTAGTGTGTATATTTACATGCTGATATTTTATATGTGCCTGATAAATGCCGTATGTGACTAATTATGTGAATATTTAACATGATCTAATGAATGTATTCATTTTAAAGATCACACATTTTTGAATTAATAATTTTCATGTTCTGTATGTTTATATGAAATTTAAAACACTGAAACGCACGTGTAAGGTTATTGATAAATAATGCTATTCGTTTAGTTGATTTTTTTTATTAACAGCAACCCCCTTCCCTCCCTGAATCGTTTTCTCTATTGTAAGAACAATTTACACCATATTCGAACATCGACCTGCATAACATGTTTGCCAATAAGAAAAACTGTTTTGAAACATCCGTTAATTTATAATAATTATTAATTTGATGTCAACATTGAGTATATTGATTTATTGTCATAAAAATCGACACAATTAATTTTAAAAATATATTATACGAGCTGACCTGCGGCGTATCGTAAGTCACTATTTTGTTGTTTTATTTTCTACTTGTAAGTACTTCATAGTTAGTGAATTCGACACTATCCTCCTTCAATCCCCTCCCCCACCACCGTGAAAGTTACCGTCCGTGACGACATTTTACGAATAAAAAGAACAAGCAGAACTTCTTACCTCTCCATACTTTCAAGTAGTTTAAAAGCTAAATTATCTATCTACCCCTAATAGTCGTTACTAACTCGACCCGGGTCTACGATTGTAAACATTCGGGGTAAAACTTAGCTCACCAGACTGGTGGGGGTGGGGTGGTAACTGTATGCCTAGAGAGCAGGGGAGTAACGGTGTGCGTTTTCGTGGTGTCTCGCATGGTCACCATGAAGAGAATTATATATATATATATATATATATATTTACAAAAGCTCGGCATATATAATTTTAAAATCAAGCTAAATTACGACGCAATATCATCTAATAGCATTCTGATTATATCAAAGTAAATGCAAGCGCTAATTGTTCGTACTATTTTCATATTTCCGATAAAGTTAAATTTTATGTTATATATGCCTCATTAAATGGGCATTATACATCCCATTTTATCCTCATATACTGACGCCACAGAAACAGATTAACTCTACCTCACCCGCCCAAGGGGTCACACATGCAACATTACCTCGATTAAATCAGGTCCAATGGTCCAAACCGTCTTAAATGCTTCATTGAGTTTAAAATGAAAGTCGGTAAAATATGAAGCTTCTCTTAGAAATAGTCCTCCCTGCTTTGATGTAACAGTAACCGTGTTATTATTAAAGAAAACGTCGAGCTGGGCGCTAATGTTGTATGATTTTGCGCTTCCGCATCTCAGCTCAAAATTGAACCTGAAATTATTTTAAAATTATCATTGGAATAACATAGTTTTATATCTTAGCCTATATATTTTAATAGGCGCTATGTTATACAAATCACGTGATTTAGATTCGTCTTCCTCTGTTGTTTACATGCATGCTGTTAATATTTCTATAGTAAATATAGTACATATATAAATATATATATATATATATATATACATATATATATATATATATATATATATATATATATATATATATACATATATATATACATATATATATATATATATATATATATATATATATATATATATATATATATATATATATATATATATATATATTTATATACCTTCATATATAATAAAATAAGACAGATATAGATATAGATAAATAGGTAGATAATAATACGCACCATTTATTCGTGGGTGTTGCATCCACTATTATTTTTGCCTCCGAAGAAAACACATTCACTGGTATGAAGACCTTCTATTTATTGAAATAATAATAATAATCATAAAGCGAAAGTGATCTCCCCTAAACTTTCTCGAATATTCTTATATAACACGACGCGGATGGCATCTCGGGATATAGGCATGATTTTAATACTTTTTTTTTAATTTCTTAAACTTTTAAAAATAGAATAGAATCTCTTAGGAAAAAAAATTAATCACCAGGTGAACGGCAAAAAATGTATATAATAATGCGGAATAGTATTAGTACTTATAAAATCATATGTTTTTCTAGGAATACGAAACAGCGTAAAGTACTACTTCCGGTCAACAGATATTATTCAAAAATCCAAAGAAGGCAGAAAATGATATATTTTACTTAAATGTAAATTTCGTCTATTTAACTGAAAAAGTATACTTAGGTTAAAGGCTTTTGAAAAACAAAAAGTAGAATAAGCTCCACTTTCGTACACCGGACATTGCTGAAAAGTTTTTATATATATATATATATATATATATATATATATATATATATATATATATATATATATATATATATATATATATATATATATATATATATATATATATATATATATATATATATATATATATATATATATATATATATATATATATATATATATATATATATATATGTTTATTTATTTATTTATTTACACAATAATTATATATAAACTAGCCCGTATGTCTCCGAGCTTAAAACATTTTTAATTACGAACATGCTTAAAGGAATGTCTATGTAAATCTAAGTTATTAATTCCTTTTTGCAAAAAAAAAAATGCGTTTATTAGTGTTCAAATTGCGATACAACCGGTTGATACAGTTGCAATAACAACACTTTAGGTATTCACATTAATCCGTCTTGACATTCTAAAATATTTGTTACTAGATTATACATGCCTACAATACTTCCAATTTCGATTAATAGAAGGATTAAATGGTGCTTGTATGTTGTGAGTAATGAAATTAAAAAAAAAACATTTTTATTAAAAACATTTTTTCACACAAAGCCTTATTATTTCTAACTGAACGTTTACTTTAATAAATGAATCGGGAGTAATCTCCCCTACAAGTTCTAGTACATTCTTATATAACATAAAGTTTGATGGCATCTTAAATGCAAATGGACTATAGATTTTTAGTCTAGCTATCTGAAATAGTAATGAAGTTAGCATGTTGATAATGTACCAGTTCCGGTGATCGCAAATCGTTCAATAGTTGAAATAAACCTTCTAGAAACCTTCTAATGCAATCTGATCTTTACACTTGAAATTAAGTTAACCTAACTAAAAAGGTACTCAAGTTATCGTATTTACGAACACACACACATACATGCATGCACACACGCCCATATACAAACATACATGCACACATACACGACAGGACTGAAACATGTTTATTTTCCGAAGGCTCCGGAAGTTTGTTAAAAGTCAAGATATCGATTTTTGAACGATTTCAGTGCACAATTTATATTCGGTATGCGAAAATGAAGGGCGACGTCAAAAACAGACTAACTTTCATTCAATAGTGCACACGATTACAATATTGTTTCTGTACTCTATGTAATAGAACTTTCACACCAAACAAATGTTTAGTTATTACATGGAAAGATTCACACGGCTGTAAGATACAAATGAAATGTTGGTAAGAAGCACCATTGAACCCTTGTTTTAGGAGTGCTCATCTTCACGATAGACACGTGATGGACTAAATACCAAATGCGGTGATTTGAATTTATCAGCGGGGGGGGGGGGGGGGAGCTGACTGGTGTAATGTTTCATTGTGATGGCAGTTAAATATTCGTCA